TCTCTCTCTCTCTCTCTCTCTCTCTCTCTCTCTCTCTCTCTCTCTCTCTCCCCCTCGTTCTGGCCTTCGTGAGAGTGCGTGCGATGGGAGCGACCTGAGGGGAATCTGAAGTACTTCCGAAACGCATATAACTATATCGCGTGACTATATCGCGAATAGAGATATAGTTTATATTCTGTTCCTCAAGTCCAATAACTGTGATTGATACTATGTTATTCAGATCCCCGCTGTTATCCTTCTCTTTCTTGACGTGACGCACAGGATATCCCTATCCGGTCACTATAATCCTATGTCCCTAGAGATCCCTATAGATTGTACCGCGCTCTATTCATATAATTATTCTCTTCTCTTTTTTAAGAATTAATGAATATCTTGACAAATATAATCCAATAATCTCATATATATTGTAAAAAACATTCTTAAAGTACATCCTTTTTCCTTAAATGTGACCTATACTATCGAAAACTCTATCGAATTACTATAAACGATTGAATCTCTAATCAATTATCATCCTTTTAATAACCATCCCTCATAGTTAAGAGTTTAGGATATGAAGTCGAAATTAAATAAAATAAATGGTAACTTAACTTATCATATTAATTGTATTTTTTATATTATTTTTAATACTTTGGATCTGTCTTATTAAACCGTTATTAAGATCCATTATTAAATCATATTAAGATCATTATTAAATTTCTCGTCACAAAAATTAGTGTGTAAACAATTTTCCTAAATTCTCCTATCTAAATATTGCATTTTTATTAAGGTTATAATAAGAATACATATATTTGTATTATTTCTCAAATCACATTATTAATATATCTCAATTTATCAAGTATATATCAATCAGTATATATCAGTATATATCAATTTAAATATTTTTATTCCTTATAGAAATTTAATAATGAATTAATAATAATGGAAGATAATGATTAGTTATTTATTTTAAATATTAAAATGTTATTCGGTACTTTTAATACACAAAATAAGTAATTTTTATTATTAAATTGGCTAGTATTAAATTGGATTTTTATAAGGGATGTACATATTTTATATATATAAAAATTTAAATAGTCTTATGTACATATAGAGCAGAATTCTAAAACGACAAAATACTTCTATTTATCTATCTCTTCTCGTTATCTTTTTTCTTCTCTTCATTTTATCCTTTTCTTCCTTCGTCATCCTTATGTCGTAACAATATTACGATTATATCTCATATATTACGCGTAAACACTCGATATAAATATATCCTCATATTCCTCTCTGCGCGCGCCTGATATTCTTTTTTTCTCTCTTTCTCTCTCTCTTTCTTTCTCTCTTTGAGAAATTCCTAAGTCAACTGCAATTGTTATAACGGTTTTTCCTATAATTTTTTCTTCCTCTTTTCGCCTTTGTCAATTCATATTTTCCCCTGAAAAGTGACGTTTTGTCCCAGAAAAGGTGGATAATTGTAAAAAGGGAAGAACGTGCCCTTCGGCGTCGTGCGGCGCGATGCTGGATGACAGATTAGACCCAGAACGACTGTCGCAAGAAGAGTCCCTCGGGAACGGTCCCATTTCGGGAGTAGGCCTTGGCGCAGAATGACGAGCGTCGTCGGCTCGTGTTGCTGCTGTTGTCGAAAGCGAAACCGCGAAGAGGAGCGACGAACAGCCCGGCGACGAAGACGACGACGACGAGCGACGACGAGTTCGGGTTCCTCTAGCGTCAGCAGGGGGCTATGAGCGCTGACAATGGGGACGAATCCTTGGTAATTACCGTGCCTTTCTCTTTTTTTTTTGTTTGCCGTCTCCATGCCTCCTTTCTGCGTTTTCCGCCTTCTCTCTAGCAGGAACACGCGCCGAACGACTTTTCCATCCGCCCCGTAGTTTGTACGTCAAATTTATGTGTCAAGTTACACTTTCGCACTGTGCCGCTTGAAGATTTACATAAGGATAATTTAAAAGGAACGATGGCGTTTGGTCTCTTCCTCTTCTTCTTTGGTGCGGTGTTTTTTTCTGGTGTTACATCCTCTCCTGATATAATTAACTTGGAAGCATGGTCCCATTTTCTTTTAACATCATTGAGGATTATCGCGTATGAATTGTAAAATTTATATGAAAGAACGATTTTGCTGAAATACTCAAAAATTTAATCGGAAATAGATCTGAAAATAATTTTTTTGGTCATCAAAATAATTGTATAAAACATTTAAACGTGATGCTTTATATTGCCAAAATATTTAGCTGCTTAAACATATTATATAATTATTTTAATAGCGTAATAATATCATTTTTTATTTGTATCTAGTCAAATTTTTAGATTTCAGCAAAACTGTTTTTTCTGTACTGAAACACATTGTAAAACTAATTATCTATTCTAGTTATCTATTCCATTCTCTACTTATTATTGTTGTATTTCCTTTCACGTCATACATGGCCAGAATTTTTCTGATTTAATCAATTTGTAGATATATGTCAGTATATCCAATTTTCTGGACGTGGCTGACAAAAATAAGAAAATGTATTCCAAACTCATGCCACTCATTCCTTTCTTCTCTTTTCCTCTTTCGCCATCGCGCGAAAAGATTATGGTATTGTAATGTGTATTTGAAAGCCCATTCCTGACGTAACGCGGTCACGAATCGTACATTTTCGCGTCCGGAGATACGACGCTTGAAGACGCGATCGATAGAGACCATAGCTTTGGCGAAATTTGTTTCATTGTTTCTTTTATTTCGGCGCGTTTGTGCCACTGATAATTACTATTTCGATAAGGAATTTGATTACAATGTAAATAACTTTAAATAACCATATAATAATTCCGAGTTCTTTGTAGCTTTCCTAAAAATCTGAAAATATCGAAAGTCTAAAATTATCGTCTAAAATTTCAAAATTTTTTGTATGAAGAGAAAAACAACAGTCTGTTGTTTTAAAACTAATGTTCTCGAGATGTAAAAAAGACATCCTAGAATTTCTATCACTTCAATCGTCTTTTAGAGATATTCTTAGAGCAAAACAAGAAATACTATAGGACATTTTTAACGTATCGTCAGTCGGATCATCATCGAATGAAATACTAAAATGGGATCTCCAAATTAATAATTCACGCAAAATGAATGAAAGATTCCTTGCATAATTTTCTCAGAAAAAGCGAAATCAATGGAAAAATGTACGGCGAGTCTAATAGAGTCCATAGATATTTCTTCGCAGCTGTGATTAAATCCTAATCGAACCGAGAACTTGACAGTCGGCCGTTCTGTCGATCGATTTCTACCTTCACTTCCGTCGTCGCTTTTGCGCACACACACACACACACACACACACACACACACACACCCACACAGTACCGTTTCACCGATCGGACTTGTGTCTTTATTGCATCTGCTTGCGTAAAACGACAGAGCGCACCCGTCCTTGGTGCCTGGCGAACTTCTCTATTCCCGACGTTTCAGAAACTTTCGCGCAATTCGAAGTTGAAATTACCGCTGCGCCGCACTCTTCCTCCCCTCGCCTCCCTTGCCCCCCCCCCCTCCCCCGGTCCCCGTAAGTTGCAGTCGCGTCGCCGCGGAAATGTCAAGGATCTCGCGCGTGCGAAGTGCCCGTCGCACGCGCTGACTTCCCCTTCGGTCTGCTTCCGTAACGACGCTCGACACGTTAGTGGACAGAAAATTATGGCGTCGATACATCGTGCCCGTCACAATCGTCACGGGCGTCGCGTCGCGCCGTTCCACGAACGTTATCGGCGATTATCACGAAGGGAGTGTCTTCGGCACGTCCGTGAAACGCCGTTCGCCATAGATCTTCCTGGATCAATGCGATCGTTTGTTCTCGTCGTCGGATGTGACACTTCAAGCACTATCGTCACAACTTCTTGTGGAGATAGAGCGTTTTCTTTTTTTTTTTTTAACTTAAAGAAAAATGTAGAAATGTTGGAGATTAGATATGGAGAAATCTTTACGAGGAACTTGAATCGGAAAAATCTATCAAAACTGAATTTTATTACTTCAAACAACGCGTGCTTACTACAACACTATATAAGTTAGAACGATTTATCTGAATTATAGAATCTGTCAAATTATATTTTTACTCTTCTATTTATTTTCATAATTCGAGTTTATATCACTTTTAATGTTTCTAGATAAACTTTTTTCTAAAAATGGAATTTGCTTAAACACAAAACAGATTTTGTATCGGATATTTTTAATCAAAACGTATTTAAGATTTAATAATATTTTTAAGGCTTCCATTTACTTTTTTACTTTTTTCAAAAAGATCAATATATTTACGAATATTATCTGTGTGTTATCATACATTGTTAAATGCCAAAGTTTTGTGAACATTACAATTTATTTCATCAGGTCTAAGAACACTCTGATAATGCGACCTAATATTTAAGATTTGATTACAGGTCTTGAAATTTAAAGAATTTAACCTGGCCATGTGAAAGGAAATACAACAATAAGTAGAGAATGGAAGAGATAACGTTTTACAATGTATTTCAGTAGAGAAAAAACAGTTTTGCTGAATGTTAAATGAATTTCTAATGTTGAATGAATTTCAGCTAGATTCTAAATTCTCTCAAACTTTGTATTCCACGGTAGTCGAAATGCGATTATTGTGGGGGGGGGGGGAGTTATCACCCTCGTATGCCTGCGGACAAGCCGCTTTCCACGCTTTCCCTGGAAAGGCTTCGCGGTGGCGGGTTGGAAAAGCACGGTTAATTCCCCAAGTTGGGAATATCCGCGAGCCGGTTTATCCGCTTCGGCGAGCCGCGTTTCGCGCCTCGCGAAAGGCATAAGACGCTTTATGGGGAATGCAAAGTAATACGTGTCAAGTCTAACGAAGCGCGTCGCGGAATGTACGGACGGAGGCGAAGGAAAACGCGCTGAAATGCGGGAAAAATTAAGGCCGGATCGAAATGGACGATTCGAAGGAGCTCAATGCTCTTCCTGAATCTGATCGTCTCTCTTCGAACGATCGTCTTCCGTCGTGTAAGATCTCCATCGAGAGACAAATTTCTCTCGTTCAACTTGCACCGAAGAAATATTTACACAACAACAGGAAGATACGACATCATTATTCTTGATTACCTTAATTAAGAACGCCATACTTTCTAGTTACATAACGACATTAATTAATTTTGAAATCGAGCCTTAAATGTAATCAAACTATGTCAAAATCTCATGATTTTATCTCTTTATCTCTTTTTTTGTAATGCCGCAAGTTTTAGAAATCTCATACGTCAGATATATTTCTAATCTAAACTAATTTTAATTACCAATGTGAACTATATCGATTTACGTATTACGAGTCGTCACACAAATATAATATCTTTGTGACATCAATATGCGTAAATAATTACTCTCGAAAATTGTGTAATTAAAAAAAAATTTCAATATTTCGCACGGCGAAAGCATTCTAGAAACTCTAGGATGGAACTTGGTTGTCTATCGCGCGCGTTACAGTTTCAGAGAGAAACCGCGCGATGGTCGCGCGTGCCACGATATCGGCGGACTTTCGCAATTCCAACGTGCGAAAATCGAGTTGGCGGGAGTGCGAGTTGCGCGGAAAGGAAAAGAGATTCCTCTCGTTCCGTATCGTGAATTCAGAATTCAGAATCCGCCTTTCTCACGGCGAGAGACGTGAGAAGAGCTCGGTGCGAGCGAGTGTAACTGGAACGTGCGCGTAATTCCAGCACGCCTCTTTCGTATCGTAATCTTAAATTGGAGCGATCATATTATCCCATGTAGATCTATCTATATTTCAAGCACAACTCAATTTCTCGCCGACACGGCGTTGTTACTGTGGTAACTGAAATTGTCGCGGCGAGATCAAGCCGGACGGGCTAAAAGGAGAATAGCCTTTACGACTGTTTCCCGAGGTAGAAAATTTAGCCTCGATCCGGGTATTAGGTCCACTTAAAGCGATTAGCACGTTTTTCACGTTCGAAGAAGGCCAGGAGATCCTCGATCGTGACAATTATTCGATGACTCAAGCCTCTCGTTGAAATTCGCACGACTGTATCTGTCCGATCGGTCGGAGGCTACTCCATTTAAACTGATTATTTCGATCTTCGATATTCTTATCATATATATTTATATCCGCTTGTTTCACAAAAAATTTGTGCTCTCTCTCTCTCTCTCTATATATATATATATATATATATATATATATATAATAATACT